TTTAGAAATTTATCATTTTAAGGTCATTTTTAAATTACATTTTTTTAATGTGCTTAATATTTTTATAAATAATAAAAGCGATTTCTTGAATTGCTGATTTATAGTACTTTTATTTCTTAAAGATAACTTAATGTACATCCAATACCTCTTTGGGCTGAATATTCTCAGTGCAACGTTTACAATGTGTTATATATTAAGAGGAATAAATAAAAATGAAAGCACGAATTATATCCTATTCTTGAAATTATAATACATTCGTAAGTCTAAATGTGAACAAACATATTTGAATTTTCATGTATTGCAGTGTGCATTGGAAATAGGAATATTAAAAAATGTATTGTTCACCATTCCTATTTTTATCTATTTAAGCTTCTTAATATTTCAGATATCACAAATCTCAGTACAAAATAAAATCTTTCTAAAGACCCTCCTTTTTATTACTTAACTATTTTTTGCCGTAAAAATAGTTTTCGCTATTTCTAATGACAGATTTAATAATCACGCAAAAATGTAAATAACTACCTCAACTTATGGTATAAGATTATAGTATAAGGACTATAGCATAAGCTCACATGGTATCAGAATTAGAAAACGCCAGAATCTCGTTAAGCTGAAATTAATCATTTCTTATTTGATTTGCTTTCGTTAGTTTGCTGTAGCTAGTAAACTTTTATATTTTTCTTTCGATAGGTTAACTTAATGGTTCGTAAATTTTAGGAGACGTAGTTATTTTATCTAGTCTTCAATTAACTTAATTGTTATTACCTTTTAGTTGATGTATCATTTTAACCCAAGGCAATCCGTTTTCGAATCTACGAAGCGTATAATTTGACAAATAGATCCATTCCGACAGAACAAAAGCCTACAGATTTTGTATTAGATAAATTGTAGTAACTATTTCTAAAACAAATGATTCATACAACAGAATGTTAGAAAAATTGCTTTAAATTATATCACCTGGGTAGTGATTTATCTATTGCTACCTTATTATAATATATGCTATTATAAATAAAAAAATTGTTTTAAAGTTTATTTCTTTTTCCAAATTTATAAACATTCCTTTATGGCATTTTGTATCAGAATACTGGCTACTTTTGTTTTACTTCAAATATTAGCTGCAAAAAATATTAATCTGAAAAGTCATCTTCTTAATATTTATTTGTAATTACCCCATACAGTTACTTTTTATATGAAATTTAAGACGGCTGTTTGTGGTTTGATATATATAATATATTCAAGAGCAGGAATTCGGATGGTGTATAAGTGTTGATCCATAATGTCTAGGAATTTGGAGGCGAAGGCAGATTAAATCTTCAGTTTTATTTTCAGCTACACACAAGTCGGCAGATTAAATGTGACTGTTCCAAAAGGCTAACATTTTTGATAATTTTGTAGCAAGAAAGCAGCAGCAGACAGCCAAGCAGTGTAGCTATGTCAAAGCGTGGAAAGCAAGTGCGTAATGTTCAGGATGAAATCTTAAGTCAAACTGAGTTAGTTTTGGTTCTCAAAGCTTTTTGATTGGATAGTTAATATTGCTGTAAAATTATTATTGGATGCTTGAGTTTTAGTTCAATTTACATCACCAGAATTACGTGAGAGTCATACGACATAGATTTTCCTCGAAATAATGCAGTGCAAATAGATGTTGCTATTTTTAGAATAGAGAAAGGAAATTAATTTACGCTGCTAATTTAATCTTTTATATATTCTTTATGTTTCTTACATATTACTATGTAAGATAAAAAATATGTGAATGAAACTTATAATTTAAACTAACGGCAAAACATTAATTCTCCCTCTCTATTCTAAAAGTGTAATAACTTCTCTGGATTGCGTCATTTCTAGATCATTCTATGGCCTGCGCAGTTCTGATGACGTAATAATTGGGAACTGAAACTACTATTGTAAACCAAATCTTTTCTCTTCGCGTGCTTCCATCTTTCATAACTACACACATCAGCTTCAGTATGTGCTGTGCTTAGACGCAATTTCGCTACTCTACTTCCTATTGCAATACTATCAATAATGTGAATGTTTTAATGTAAATGTTTAAACAGGCACGACTAAAGTGCCAAGTGATATGTGGCCACATAATATCAATTGGAAATAAAAATGGAATTAAAATCGCCTCGAGTGCCAACTTTTATTTACGAAGTCAACACATTAGCTTACGACGCAATCAGAATACTTCCTCTTCAATATGCATCGACTATCTATCTTACCTGAGTTTTATGCATCAACAGTGCTCCGTCTTTTCCTTGCTTTTATTATGTCATATATATATATATAGTATATATACTAGCATACTAGAAGATGCATATATATATATATATGTATATATATATATATCATGATATGAATGACTTAGAACTTGGTGGTGACGTAATAGATGCCTTGCGAAGAAACTTAGCAAGACAGACATGGCCAGATTCAAGATAATTTTATTATTGAGGAAAGCAATTCTGGATACGCAATATTTGGTTCACATATGGACGGGCATCTTATGCGCCCTACATTTTTGTTAGCTCAGCACATACTCAGTGAACAAAGAAAGCAACCGCAAAGCGTCTTGCCAGGAGGAAAGCGTAAGCGAAATTGTCCCAGCAATTCAGAGGAGAAAGGAAGGAAATAAAAAATTTTTGTTCGAGATATTTTTTTTTTTTTGCAATTATTTAGTGATTGGGAAAGAAGTGTCTGCATTAAGCATTACGTTGGATCGCAGGATTAATTCGAATGACACCGTTTAGACTTATAGCGCATTTTTTAAGTTAAAGAGAGGAAATTCCCAAATTAAATAAAAAATAAAAGAGGTTATAGCCAATTAGAAATTAGAAGTTTGCTTTCATATTTTTTAATCTTGTATATAGTAGCATATACTATATATATATATATAGATACAGTATATAGTAGTATATACTATATATATATAGATATAAAATTTAAGCAACCAATTCGTTTTTTAACATACAACCATGAAATTATTGATAAGGGCATTTGAGAGCAGCCGAATGAAAAGCTAACTGAGTGAGGTGCGTAATCCATAAGTACATATCGGCGCCCTCACATGATAGGGTACATCAGAGTACACAAAAGCCATGAGTCAAGCGTTTGTAAGACATCTCAAAAAGGAGAAAGGAAGGCATATTTTCAGGCATTCTTCTGCAAGTGAGATTGCACGTGCAGTATGGTTACAATAAAGCATGAGGACGCCTTTACACGTAGTAAGGTGGAAGCGATAGGCAAGCTAGCCACCTGAAAGAGAAAGCATAAAAAAGTACATAATTATTTTAATAAGACCACATAGTGGTAGTTCATAAAATTACTTAATATTTCGAATTAGAGATCTCATGATTTATATGCATTTTAGCTAAACCAGTTATAAAGTTATTATTATCAATACTTAAGAACTTGCGTCTATTGCATTTATACTTTCTAAGCTTTTCAAAAATGATCATAAAGATTCTGAAAGTAACCAGACATTTTTAACTAAAATATTATGCCGGCAAGAAAAGTATTAAAGCAACAATAAACAGCTTAAGCTGCAGGGAGTTTTGAAGCTTAAATGGAACCTACTTCTTCAGCTGCAAGAATAAAAATGTCGAATGAGAATTCTGTGCTCACAGGGTAACAATAAACATAAAATTCTAGCCTAGTAAATGAGCAAAGCTACTGGCGTCATGTATTGAAAAAATGTGAAAGCAGCTAACTATGAAATCATTTCTCTCATTTTTCCGTTATAAGATGATAAGCCAAAAGTAGAGATGGATTAGAATTGGAATTATTAACCTGAAATAGGGGCGCATCTCCATAAAATGGCTCCCGTGGCATAAATTTAAACTTCGCCCTCCTTTAAAATATTAAAAATTACATTTATCTTTTTCTGATTTGGTTTCAGGAACATAACTTTTTTAATACTCACTAATATATACATACATCAAAATTAACAGAAAAGTATCAGTTTTAAAATGCTGATATCCAGACAGACAAAATCAATCAAATTAAACAAACTAGACAAAATCACTTTGTGAATAATTGCAAAGTATAAGATTGTAAAAAAATAATATACAGGTATATATTAAAAACTACATTATTGTTAGAGAAATGGTACTGATAAAATATAAGATATTAGTATATATTTATATTTATACAGTACATGTTAAAAGTTTTTTACAATAGCAGTAACAGCATTTTCATATGATTATTAAAACTATACCTCCCTCGCTTTCAATTATGCGAATTTACCAGGAGTTCAAAATTACATTTTGGGTTTCTTCTGTTTCATTACTTAGTAAAGCAAAATGATATAATCGATCCTGACCCATCAAGTGTTTCAGCATTAATTTCAATTTCCTAAAAGATTTTTCACAGCTGATCATAAAACCTGCGATAGTCAACATTATTTGAATCACAGTCCGAAGACTAGGAAAGACGCTGTCATCTCCATATTGCAAAACAGACTAAAGAATTTCTTCAGATCTTGATATTTTGCTATTAGAACGACTCGCAAGCAACATTTTCAAATCCAAAACTTCTTCGTAGAGTTTTCGACCATCAGCATTGCAGTTGGAAAAGTTTCGGACGTTTTGGCATTTTGTTTTTAGAATTTCACTGTCAACACTGTATCGAAAGGCAAACTTCCCATCAGTTTCGTCAATGTCTCATCATATTTAGATCTGAAATAAGACAAAAACGAAACTAAATGGATATACATCCATTCCATTCAAAGATGATCTCCATCGGTTATCATTGATAACATTCCATGCTTGAGTACAGTATGAGAAAATACAATCCGGTTACGCAGATTTAATCTATAGAACAGTAAGGAAATATCCAATTTAACCGCGAATGGCATGCATAATATTGATATCTTTTTGTTAGAGGTTAAGACCATGACAAGAAACAACGTTTGCCTAAAGTGATTTAATAAGTAATTGTTTAGAACAAACATCGACTTGTATTGTGTAGAGAAACATAAAATCTGAATTCTTTCTTTTACATAGGGTCAAAGATCCTTACTGAAGCAGGTGCCTTCGCCCTCTGTTCCTCAGATGCCTGCAGGACCCTTGCAACCTCTTCGCGAGTACACTTCACCTAATCAGCATCCACCAGGGCCATTGCAACTCACTGCCCTCTCTCCTATTGGAAGCGCCCCGGTGCGAACAGAATGGACGCTGCCCAGAACAGCAAATAAATTGAAAAACAGACAGACGGATGTATGAAAGTGAGAAAAATATATACTTTATGGAAGGTAAGAGCGTGCATTATCTTCTTAATGATATAAGTACTATTCTTCCAGTTACCAGAAATTATGTATGATGCTCGTTGATGCAGAAATGGAATACGGTCAAAGTTAAAATATTTTGAAAAACCCAGTAAGCGATTTTTTCTTCTTACCGCACTTATAGCAAATCAAGGAATAATGAAACTAGAATAGAATTCAATTGAAGCAAGAATGTCTTGAAATGTAAAGCGAATTTTATAAATGTTGAAGAATTGCATACTGGTGGATTTCGTGGCTATAAGAAGTTTAGGGTATAATGAGTTCACTACAGTCAGTTACATATTCATAATTAACTTGGAATATTACAAAGAAGATGAAAGATGCTACAAATGTCAAAATCATCTAAGAAAATTCCGTTTGTTTGAGGATAGAAAGGAATTAAGAAGCTGTGTTTCTTTAAAATTCCATTACCTAAAACTGCTTAGCCTAAAAGTTTTAATATTGTAATAAATATAGTTTACAGATATTAACAGGAGACATAGTTGTTAAAATGATGTATTTTTAATCTAAGCTGTAGTAGATCACATTCAGCTTTACACAGAAGGAAATGAACAGATGAATTCGTGCTTAAGTACGTTGAACTTGTTTACGAGGATCTTATAAGGTATTTCTCCCACGTTCTTGGCGTGCCTGCGTCGTGTGGTGGTCTGCACACTGGGTCGGTGTTCGTTTAACGGTCGGTTCGGTAACGAGTCTGGTCTGCACACTGGGTCGGTTCGGTAACGGCCGGCGGCTCGATTCCCGGCGAAGGCGTTTTTAAATTTTAATTTTTGCTGCTTCCAAAAAAATACATAGTGTCTTTACATTCTCATTACACTAATGTGCAAACCACATGTAGTTTATTTTAGAATCAGAATGTCAGTCCTGATGTAAACGTTTTAGAAGGCGTTTGATACCAAGATTATCATTTTCTTCTGATATATACAGCTATTTTCCATATTTTTTTTATTGGCTTAATTATTTATTGCATTTATGTAGTCTAAAATGTATAACTTTAAACTCATTCTGTAATAGTGCTTTGATTTTCTACGTATACCAACCATCAATTTTAACATTAATAAACATGATGTTTATATTTACCTCTTGCAGACAGTTTTACTTTTCCTTGTGCTTAGTTACTCACGGATTACAATTCAAATCAGTACAAAAGCTCAATATTCTCTCTCTATATATATATGTAAGATAAAATTATGTAAATCAAAATTTTACTTTAAACTAGCTATAGCCTCTGAATTCCCCTCCCACTATTCTAAAAATAGTAATTTGTACTTGAAAAGTGTTACACCAGGGTGCCTGGGTCTGGACCCTATCCTAATCGAATAAATAAGGAGTTTTGAATTGCTACACATAAATAACTTCAGGAGAAATAAATTTCATATGTACATATTTACATAATTTTTGGAATTAGTTGGGATAAATTATGTAATTATCTAGATTATTAACCACTTGATTTATGAGAACTTGAATAGATTAAACAAAGATTCAAAGATTCGGTGAACGACCTGAGAAATGACAACTGGGGAAGCTATATATCCGTCGATCTGTTGATAACACCTGTCAAATTACAGTAAATATATGTAAATAAATAAAGAAGTGCAAGACCCAAGGTATGCTAATATGAAAAATATACACAGCACGTCACAATATGTATAATTAAATAAATGAGAATTCATCATAAGAGAACAGTTACACACAAAGTACAGATATAAATATATAAATGCAGTTCACATTAACTAATCCGCTTGGTTACTGAGAATGGCCATAGGCCGTTTACTAAAACAGAGATCATTGACATTGTAATCATATAAACTAATGGCTGAATTTATAATTAATTTTTTATCATTATAGAACTTCCGAGTAATACGACAGTAGAAAGTTCTTAACTGCTCGATACGTAGTTCTTTACGTAACTTCTGATTTCTCACATTCCATGGAGCTTCCATGATCTGCCTCAAAATGACGTTTTGGGAAGCTTGTAAATTTTCCCTAAGAGATTTACATGAATAAGCCGAGACCGGGAAAGCATAATATAATAGCGGACGTTGCATGGACTTATAAATGAGTAACTTTTTGTCTATGGAAAAAGTGCTGTTTCGAGCTACTAAAGAGAATAGTATATGTTTACTCACTCGAAACGTTCTGATAATAGATCTAATGTGAACACCATGAGAGAGATTTATTGGGGATCACCCCAAGATAAAGGAAATGCTTGGCTCAGAGGATTGATATTCTGTAAAGTTGCAAATTCTTCTTGAACTTGTTCTTCTTAGTGAAGAGGATAACTTGTGTTTTCCTACTTTCACCTTGATTTCCCACGTTTTGAGCCAAGTGTCATGTGTATATGCAATCTTGTAATCGTTGTGTAACTGGACTAACAAGTGCACTTTGTGAAAGGATCGCGGTGCCAACAACAAGCATTGCAAGTGTTGTGTTGGGTGTAATAGGAATGTCATTCACGTAAATAAATGTGTGGGGCCTAAAAGAGATCTTTCGGGGACCTTGGCTGGATGGCCCGTCCAGTAGAAACTGTGCCTGTAACGTGAACTACCTATTGTCTACCGTTTAGGTAGGATTTAATTAGGTTAGTGATGTAGTCTGGGAAACCCAGAATGTGTAACTTGTATATGAGGGCATCTAGCCACACACGGTCAAAAGCTTTTGCTATATCTAGGAATAAGCCACCAGTGACCTTCTTGTGCTGTCGTCATCCATTGATCATTTCCACAACTCTGTAGAGCTGGTGACTAGTCGAATGTTGACTCCTGAAACCGAACTGATATGAAATTAGTAGATGTGTGTAGAAATTAGTAGAACTTTCGATGTGCTGGTTTATTCTTGATAAAATGACAGTTTCAACTATCTTGCTCAGGGATGGAAGCAGGCTGATTGGGCGATAAGATTCTAGAGCTTTTGACGGCTTGTGAAGCTTGAGGATGGGAGTGATTTTCGCAATCTTCTAGCATTCAGGGAAGTGTTGCCACTTGAGAGTCAGATTTAATATTTTTATGGAGAATAGTATGACTTTGGTTGGCAAGCGCTTGAGCAAGGGCCCTGGAAAACTTAGTGTTTCCCATTCAAAGTTTAAAGAACTCAATCTCCAGAGACGATCCGAGGAAGCGCCACCCCCTGGTCGGTGCAAAGGGACCAAAATCCTAATTCTTTGAAGGAGACTCGACGGGCGACCATCACGAAGAGATCCACAGAGCCGGTTCTCAAACTTCAACTACTCAATTCAACGATTTTATTCCTGCAAGCGGGGTCACCACTTCCTTTCACAGTACTAAAAATTCTTAAGTCACATAAATCTGACAACGCTTCCCTCTGCTACGACAGAGGGGAGCCCATCTCCCTCGGACAATCACTATTAAGGGTCTCTTACTACTGAAAGCTTTCTTCTAAAATCAAGACTACTGCTCTCAAATATATTAACTACGATAAATATAGAAGTCACATTAAAGGTAAAATAATAAGATAAGTGGCTAATAAACATAAATTTTTATAACATATTTTGTACAAAGCGCTTATCTACCTTTGTGAGACAACATGCCATTATTAGAATTTCAGAAACAGAATTATAAACTTGGATTACATGATAACAGTTAGGTATGTGTTTTATTTTTCCATGGAAAAGTAATATTAAAACTTGGCTGTGTCATGAAATTAAAGTATTTTTATGCTTGTAAAATTAATTTCATACTTCTGTTTATATTCTTGAATTATTATGCATATGTACTTACATCAATTTAAAATTACAGAATCTTATTCTTGTACCTCGAAGTTGACGTTGATAAAGTGAAAACAATTTAAAAATTCACAAGCAATTTCAGTTGGATGAATGAAATGCATTTCCTGCTTTAAATTGCGCATCGCATATTTGCAGTTACAAACATGGGTTTACTTTCATTTATATAAACGGAGAGATGTGTTAAAAGTTAAAGACATAACGAGTTTGAAAATTCGAAACAACAAACAAACAAATTTCCAAATAATAATCTTCATATCTTTAACTGCTGGAATTTCTCTAGCTTCTGCATATAATTACTATATCTAGTAGAGGGCGCAAATTTCCTACTGCTCGCGTTGTTCTTCGGCTTTATATGTAGCTGAAAAACTTGAACTAGTGAGGATCAGATTACCCTTCTAATCTGAATTACAAAGAAGCTCAACAAACATTAATCAACTGGAGAATGGAGACAGGAAGCCTTAATTATTTTTTCTAACAGTGTGAGAATTCCGCTTACAAAATTTTGGTTGCTAATTTCTTTCGCGAATCCCAAAGTAATTCTTTCGAGTAGACAAACAATCGCGAAAAAAACGAAGATTATTGCTTAGATATTTCATCCCAGGAAAAAAATAAAAAAAAAAAAAATATGAGACGATTACGAAACGTTTTAAACTTAAGGCATCGAAGCTATCCAGGAAGAAGCCTTTTTCTACTGAAAGTAGACAGATAACTTTAAGTCTAAGGAAACCCATTTAGTACAAAGAAGGACATCACACATGCATAAAATTGATGAACGAATTTTCATAACTCATTCTAGATTGACGGTCTCAATACGTCCAGTGCATATTTAAAAAATACGACATGAACCCCAGTTAAAACGCTGTCTGGAAGTGTTTGTTGAATTCTGAGGAAATTAAACTAAAATTAAATTCAAAAATATCTGAAGCTATAATTCGTTGGTGTACTAAAATACCATTGGCCAATTTACTGATTTCTGTAACTGCTAATTATTTAGAAATTTTAAAGCTTGGTAATTCTAAATACTGCGGCTTCAAAGATATTCGAAACACGTACGAACAAGCTGTTTTACATTTTCAGCATACGAACCCGGCAACTAATTGTGATAGGTTTCGCTTAAAAATACGAAATTAAAAAATTGCCACATTATTTGTATCATTTTTCAGAGTTTCTGAGTTGCTAAAATTTAGTTTTTTAGGGTTCGGTGTGTATCGTTGTTAGTACT